AAAATTCAATTATGATGAGTTGATACGTAGCTTTGTTAAGTCAATGTAGGAGTCAATTAGAAATCAACACATAATATATTGGACTGAATAATTAACTGTAGCTTTGAAGACCATAGTGACAAATTCCTCGACAGGTTCTTAGATTATTTGTATGAAAGTAAGCATGAGGCTAGGAGGTTTTTTTATCAAAATGAATGAGGCGCAGAAGAGGTATATTGCAAGTCTTGAGGCGGCTCAAAGATGGGATACATGATTTGGGATTTGTTATCCTGTGCACATAACATTCTATTTTGCTACTTCACATGATTTGCATATACTTTGCATTCATGTTGGTATTTACAAAATCCATACACAAACTTATATTTTGTTAATTGCAAACTTTAGATGTTGCAATTCATGTTGCTAATTACTAAATCCCTACACAAACTTATATGTTTGTTACGTGCAAACTTTAGATGTTGCAATTCATGTTGCTAATTGTCGTTGTTGGTTATATTCGTTGTTGGTGATATTCATCTTGCTAATTGTTGTTCTTGGTTATTTGTGCTTAGATTGAGCTAATGGTTGTTGGCTTCTTGTACTATATAATGCTCGGTTAGAGCTTAATGACGGATGGCTTTTATTGGTACTCAATTCCGGTATGGGCTCTTTTCATTCATTTTTGTTTACGTGGGCCATGATGATGATAACCAACATCGTGCGCATGATTTAAGAGATCATTTATGTTCCAATTTGTATAGGAGATATTGTTGCAGGAGAGACACTTCCACCACTCAAATCGGTCTCTAACTTTCAAAGCATTGGCTCTTAGCACTATTTCTGCTTTTTTCATTATATCCCACATCTTATCACATTCTCGATCTTCATCTGTATATGAAAAAAATTCCTCATATGTTTGTCTCTACGGTAGTTTTCGTGCACGCTGATTACAAAAAATAAAAAACCAAATAATTTGTCAATTGGAAAATAGTAGAATAATTTGTATTTTTTAAACGAAGTACTTACCTTTGATTTTGATGTGCTTGAAAATTCACCAAGGTCTCTAACATTCTTACTCATGTTTTTCAACTTTGCAAAATTTATGCTCATGGATAGTTGAGAATAGAAGGATTTTATAAGATTTGAGGATATCAAACTAGTCGTTAAAAGAGCCGTTAAGCTAGTCGTTGAATGATGAATAAGATTAGCAAAAGTTTTCCATAAATTTTTCATACGCAACCAAAAAAGAGAAAAGAAAAACTTGCTATTTCTATAAAATAATGGGCCCATATTTTTATTGTGAAACAAACAAAGAAAGTACAAGAAATAAGAAAATAAGTACTTTTGACTTTTGAGTTCTCAAAACTTTTTCTATAATTTTTTATAGAAATACAAGGAAATCTACTTTTTGGGTGTTTTCCTTTTCCTCTTTTTTATAGAAATTGAACCAAACACCCCCCTTACTTAATATTTTGAATTAGTGCATAACAAGGCCATTGAATTAGCTATTAGGTCCCTCAAGTATTACAATATTTTTGAAGTTAGTCCTTCAAAGCATTGAAATTGCTGCTAAGTTGCCCAATTCTCATAAGTTATTTCAAAATAACCCCTCTAGCTGGTAATTCTGCTATCAATTTGAGGTGCATTTTTCAGAATAACTTAGAATTAATGCCAATTCCAACGATTTGAGGGACTAGTGTCAACGTAAGTCAAGAATTTGTAGACTTAATAGCAATTTAGATGGTTGTGGGAATTAAGATGATAAAAAATGGGGGGAACAACCCCCTTTTCATGGAATTGCTGGGCTGTTTTAATAGTGATAGCCCATTTTAGATAATATTGAATGCCTAATGGGATAACACACCAGGTCTAGATAAAGCCCAATTTGCGTACGTCATAATTCTTTGTGGAAAGGAATTAATGGGTTGAACACGCAAATGAAACCAAGTTTTTCTCTTTTTTTTTTTGGGAAAAAAGGTATTTTTCTCGTACATACCCCAAAATCAATTTGGGAAGTTACTCTTCAGATCATGATAATTGCTATTTACTCGATAAATTGTAGTCATCTCCAACTTTTATTCTTCACCTCAGATTTTATGGATTAAAACTGAAATATTATATTAAAATGATTTTTAAAAAAAAATCAAATTATCATGCATTAGGTTAATCAAACGTAAAAATAAGTAATCTTACTATTATTTGAACACTAATAAAGATTATTTAGGGGCTAAAAAATGTTTGAATATTATGTTTTAATGTTTCCTTAAATGGAAAATAAACAAGTTTCTTTCACACACAATGCATACAAGATTGAATTAGTTTTGCTATTTTAGGGGTTGTTTGTTTCCATGCATTTAGTAGTTTTTGCAATAAAAAATGGGGCTCATAAGTTTAAAATATTAGGTTTTATCTCTTATACTATTTATTTGGTTTCTTTTGGTGACATGAATTTGGAGGTTCTACATGTAACCGAGCATGATTTATAATATGCAAATTCCCGAACCAAACAATCCCGTAGCTGTGTTAAACATCAGCAGATCAGCTTCTCTTCCTAGAAAAAGATTGAGAGTACAATTATTGTAACATTGATTGATTAAAAAAAAAGCATTTGCCGTTATGTGCGAATAAAGACAAAGGTCGCCGAGTGTCCAACTATGTAAATACGTCCATTGGGCTAAGCCCATCACTATTCTTCCGCCTCATGTTTTCATTTTTTTTTCCAATTTTGTCCACTTCAATCTTTCATATTATGAATTAGGCCCTCAAATCATTAACCGAATGGCAATTTCAATGATTTGAAGCACTAATTTCAAATAAATTAAGAGCCGGAAAACTTAGTTTTTGTTCTAGTGATTTGGGGGACTAATTTCAAAAAAAAAAAAAAAATTAAGGGACAAAGATAAAGAAAAAAAACTCCGTAACAAAAAAAAAAAAAATAGTTTCAATAAGGATCGGTTTGGTATTGCTTTTATCAGTGTTTTTGTTTTTTCGGAATCAGTCAATAATGATGTTTAGTAAAATTTATTTTTCATGCTAATTGAAACTGTCATTGCTTTAAAAATATGCTTTTAGAGGCAACCTGACTATGCTTTCAAAAGCAGGTTTTGCTTTTTTTTTATAATTATTATGTCATTATTACCTTATTTGTCTTTTGACATTATTACCTTATTTGTCCTAAATTATCTTATCTATTTTGATAGCTAAAGTTATATCTATATTTTTTTCTCTTCAACTTATAATGGCATTTAAGTCCAGTTTTGTCAGAGGCCTAGTTGCTTCTGAAAACGGCTTACAACATATAATTACCAAATGACTATTTTCAGCAGTATATATAATTATTTTTATAAGCAACTTATCATAAGTTTCAGCAATAACAAGCTTCACCTCAGCATGGCAAAAAAATAATTAACGAACAACAATATAGTGTGTTTTTAATAATTTAAACAGAAGCGTCCTTTAAAAAAAAACAACAATATCAAACCGGCCCAAAATCTTCCGATATCTTTCACTAACAAACTCACCTTCTAATAAACTGATGTATCGATCGTTGTCAGATCTTCAAAGCCGCAGAATCCCCTCAAGAATCCAAATCCACACAAATCCTCGGTCCGAAAAATTGATTCACAGCCACCAAGCAGACATCAGCTCAATCTCATAATCCGAGTAATCTCAACATAACATTTTTTTAACTTGTTGACGCTTGAATGGAAGTAGGAGGTCCTAATTAACATTTTTTACCTTAACTTCATTCCTACGTACGTATCTCTCTATGTTTGCAAATATTAGGTGAAAGTCTCAGAGCATGTTTGCTATATCCACTCCCAAACAGTAACTTTGGGAGTTGGATTGCCGAAAATACCCTTTTGGACTTGGCCTGGTTTGATTTGGGAGAAGGGCAATTTAGTCATCATACACCTCCAAAGTTACAGTTTAGGAGTGTGAATAGTTGCCCCCGTGTCAGAGGGGGCCAAAATGAAGAAGACGTCAGCTCCTCGCAAGACATTTCCTCGCAAAACATGGGGGAGGGGGTTAGCGCTAGCTTCTGCTCTCACCAATCAAACATCTGATAAAAGGAACAGAACCCACTCTCAACGTCACAAGCAAAAAAAAAAGGCTACGCTTTTGTGATTCATTCGGTAAAGCAACATTTTCTCCATACGTTTTCCAACCACCCAACTTTATTACGGGTATATTCTCAAAACAAAAAACGAAAACAAAAGGATCCCCACTTTCGGATGAAGTAGTAGTTAGGTCGCTTTTCTTAATCAATTGTTGAGTTGGACAATTGCAATTCATTTAAACCTTAAACGCTTGTTATACTTCCGTATGAGTAATGCTACAGAGACCTAAATCCATGGAATATGGGAGGGGACATGTGAGGTGTCCCCTCCCCCATTGCTCCATGCACTGTTCATGAACCGTGCATGGAGCAATGAGGAGGGGACACCTCACCTGTCCCCTCCTCTGTCCCATGGGTTTGGATCCTTAAAGAATTTCCCCTTCCGTATATAGCATACTCGTTCATATCTTCCGCTCAATTAAATTAAAAATTTTAACTAAATAATACACAGACTTTTATCAAAAGTAATAGTCAATATTTTCCCCGCTCACGTAAATCACAAATTTTAACTAAATAATACACAATTTTTTTATCAAGAGTAATAGCCCTGAATTATCCAAATTCTTTATGATTCTCTAGAGACGGGTGGCAACAAGTACCGCTGTCTCCAAACATTTCCCACGGCACAAGATAGAAATACCCTGTAAAAATATTCAACCTCCATCAAAATTGAATTGAATACTCACCGAGAGAGAACTCCCCACTTTCCTCACTTGTAACAGGGAATTAGTCATAATGATCTTTGATACGGGGACCCTAAATATGAGACCAACAAAAGGGACAGATGATGTGTCCCCCTCCTATTGAATAATAAGCTGACCAACTCATTATGTAATAGGAGGGGGACGTCTCACATGTCCTTTCTGTTGGTCCCATATTTTAGGTCATTGGAAAATATTTCTAGTCCAAATAAGACTTTCGTTTCTTAAAAGGATTTAAAAGTTATTGAATACGCATCTACATGCGGCCAGGAAACATGCGCAGTGCAATAGTAATACCAACAAAATAACATATGACGCCACAGAACAGACCCCACCACCTTCAACGCTTCGCACACCAAAATCCAAACAAACAATTGCGGCACGAACAAAGTCACACGCACAAATACACCACCTCTCAATTATTGAGAGGATCAACCAAATCAAGCGGCAGCAGCCCACACGATATCCTTCAACGCCGGCCGGAGCTCATCCCTGCAGAAGCTCCTGTACTCCAGGCTATCCCAGCCCCTCTTTCCTCACCTCCACAACAGAAACCGACCCGCGCAGCCACCGCGAATATCTCCGCCGCCACGACAGCTCCCCTTCCCCTCCCCCCTCCCTTCCACCCCTCCATCCTCACCCCCGCGCGGAGCTCTTCGTCACCCTCATCCCCCTCCCCCCCTCCGATACTCGCCGCCACCCCTCCAGCCTCGATATCCACGTTGCTCGCCGTTCTTGGGTCGCGAACCGTATCTCGTCCTCCCTCTTGCTAAACACCGTCCTCGAAGAGCGGCGGAGAGGTTTGAAGCCCTCGAGAGGGAGATTATGGGAACGCGTTGAGCTTCTGGGGCTCGTCAGAGGTGAGTGTTGATCTCCTTCTTAGGCGGCGGTCGTCGCGGCGGGATTTTGAGGAGGAGCGAGGGGTGTCTTTAGTTCGGCGTTTTTTTTACCAGGCGAGAGGTCGAGGATCTTGGATACCGGGGCATCCGGGTGGTTAGGGCTTCGCCGCCGTCCGAGGAGTTTCGGTGCATTGAGGCGCGCGATCGTCGCGAGGAGAACCACGGCGGGCATATTGAAGTCCCCTTTGTGGATCTTTCGATACATTGCCATAAGGTTGTCGTCCTGCGCAGCGCATAATACACAAAAGCTCAGATGAAATCAGGGACGAATCTTTTTTTTTTTTTGGGTATTTCGTACTTCGTGTTATAATCGTACATCAGAGAAATTACCTGCGGACGAGTCAGGATTCTTGATTTTTATACCCATTAAATAAAAACTCATTTTAGTATTACGGCATGAATGAATCGTTTGTTTTACGATGGAACCAGCAGACGCCCCAAAAAAAAAAAGTCAGCAAAGACTGTGGGGCTTTCTCGTATTTTCGAATTTATCTCGTGGCCAGATAGAGTTGTTATACCTGAAATGGGAGGAACCCAGCAAGAAGAACATAGAGAATAACTCCACAAGACCACAGATCGGCCTTCGCTCCGTCGTACCCTTTCTTGGCGATAACCTCAGGTGCGACGTACGCCGGAGTTCCACAAGTGGTATGCAGCAATCCATCGGGGCCGGCAACCGAGCTGAGCCCGAAGTCAGCAACCTTCAGATTGCCTGTAAAATCGAATGCCTAACGATTTAGGGGTTGAAAAAAAAAAAGAAAACATTCCGAATTTTATCCATCTAAATCGCGAGGCGGTTGATTTTACCTTGCTCGTCGAGCAGTAAATTCTCCGGTTTCAGGTCCCGGTGGTACACGCCGCGGATCCTCGAGAAGAGCTCGCCGCCCCGGACGAGCTCCATGGCGAAGTAGATCTTGGACTTGGTCGCCATGACCTCGTGGAGCTCGACGACGTTGGGGTGGGACACCATCTTCATCACCGAGATCTCGCGCTTAACCTGCTCCATCATCCCCACGCGGATCACCTTCTCCTTGCACACCACTTTCATGGCGACGTTCTCGCCGGAGGCGAGGTTGCGGGCGAGGTAGACTTTAGCGAGGTGCCGTGCGAGGAGGCGCCCGAGCTCGTAGGCGGCCGTGGAGAATGGGGAGGAGGAGGAGGGGAGATGGAGTTCTTTCATTGTCGGAGGGTTTTTTTTGGGATTGGAACTGGTCTCTTTTCTATCGAGAGGAGAGGAGGAAGAGAGAGGAGGAGGGAGGAGAGAGAAAAACGGCTACCTCCTCGACTGTGCTTGCAGGTGGCACGTGCGGCAGGCGGGCTTCTTGCGCCGCTTGCCTCCGAGATCAGGATCTGAGCGGTACATCTTGCGGCATTCCCTGGCGAGGAGACGCAGCAGAAGAAGGAAATCGGAGGGAGGGGGAGAAAATAAAAATGCGGGGAGAGAGAGGGACCGGGGGATAAGAAGGGAAGTGAAGAATAATTGGTGGGGGTTCTGAACGGAACTACCTCCTCCTCAGTGGCCTTTTTATAGAGGAAACCACGACGGAAATTACGGTTCTGACCCTATGTCTTTAAATCCTGACTCCGCCCTTCTGACTAGATTTCGAAATTGTTTAGGGGCTCTTTGGTTAGTTTTCATAAAATTATGGAAATGGATTCCAAGGCAAATAATGTGAACTCGTTGTGGTTTGACCCTCCGTCGAGCCATGTAAAAAGTTCTATTCACTCGAAACCGTTAAAATTGATACGAGTGGATGAAGGGTCAAACCACAACGATTTCACACCAAATTTGGTGTGTTGGGGTTTTAGAATATGTAGATCAAGTTGAACGGAACGGATTATCCACAATGTAGCTCAATTAAGTGATCATCAATGGATAAGAAACTTAGTGGACGTCCACTTAAGTTGACAGAAGTTTTGCTCTATATATATATATATATATATATATATATATATATATATCAAAGAAATTCACAATTTGTGTTTGATATAAAATGATAAAGTGAAGAATATGAACGCATATCCAAAGCACATGTTTGTTTCATTACCAAATAATTTAGGGAGTTGTGAGAGGAAAATGATGAGTTGTCACATTGTTGTTAGCTTTCTAGCTCATTTCTAACCTAAAAAAAAAATTTGGGCTTTCCATAATTTGGGCTGTCATGTCAGCTTTTAAGAAATGTATTTTTTAAAAAAAAGTTGAACCAAATGGTAGTTTTGAAATCCTATAATGTCAAAAAACCCACTTTTTGTTCCAACACTACAAGATTCCTAAAAATTTAGCCGAAGCAAACAATCCCTAACAAAAAGGTTTTCGGAATTTCATTCTCGCAATAAATTCTCATGGTTTGACTTATCTAGAAATTGATGTATTGTATTCAAGGTAATTGTCATGTATTTCCAGAGCGGATGAGTTTTTTTCCCAGATAATAATTGTACGAAATATCCTTTGTGGCTGTGTTGTGTAAGCATATTCTGATATGGAGAAAAAGACTATATATTTTGGGTTTGATTGAAACAAATGATGTGTACAGTCTTGCATACTGTTTTGCTGGTAACCAAACAATACATTCATTCTTTATTATCTCTACTAGATTGATCACTAATTGGATTCACTGAAGTAAAAAAAAATTAACTTAAAGAATTCATTAATTATATTCAACAAAACCTTATTTTCATTTGAACAGTCATAAAAACTTATATTTTAAAACTTAATGTTTTTTTTATACTTCATGGACACTTCTCAGAGGAAAACCATTTTTATTCAATGTAGATCCAAATAAAATGAAAAACCATTGATACAAAATGATGCGAGTCATAAAATATCAAAACTAAACAAAAAAAGTCCACCAACTACTTGAAAAGAAAAGTTATGCAAACCAGTTTTAGAGGCAGGGTGTTTGCTGCAAAATTACTTTCATATCCGACTTAAGTTATGCAAATCCACATAACCAACAATTTATGTTTTGGCTTTTATCTAAAAAATGGCATCGTATATTCGAAGCAATTGTCACATAAGGACAAGTTTAATAATTTTTTACTTAATAGTTACGAAATCCATTCAATGGCAGAGAGCTTTGGAAGACTCAAGGGTCATCAGAGCCCACCTCGTGCAATCAAACTATATCCCATGCGGCTGTACTGTATAAAATTATTTTGATCGGTAAAATAAATTTATTTTGGTTTTTCTTGAAACAAATAATGTGGAAATTGTTGTGTAATGTTTTGTTAGTAACTGAGCAGAACGTTCATTATATATAATCTCTACGGATTGATAAGTATATTTTTTGTTTGTTTTTCCAGAATTGGTTGTTACTAGTTTGGTTTGTGAAAATTAAAACAAAAAAATCCATCAAATATAATCAACTATACATTAATTGCTTTTGTACGATCATAAAAACATATAATTTTTATAATTCATGAACATGTCCCAGAGGACAATCACATGTACTCAATGTAAATTATCTGACCCAATATAAAATGTAAAACCATTGATGCAAAATACAAAATAATGCGAGTCGGAAAATATTAAACTAAACAAAAAGTCCACCAACCTCTTGAAAAGAAAAGTTATGCAAAGGCGTTTGAGGCAGGGCGTTTGCTGCAAATTTACTCCCCTGGCCGACTCAAGGGCGAAAATGTCTAATCCGAACAAAATATCTCGTCCATTCGATTGAGATCCAGCGGCTAACCGAAATTGGCCCAACGGTCCTCGCTCTTGAACGAGGAAGCAACTGCAACGGGGCCCACTTCTTTCGTCGCTTTGCTTAGGGCTGTTTGGTTGGTTCCCTAAAAACCAAGAAAGAAAAAAATCTTTCTACGTTTTTTATTAAAATATTATTTTTATTCATTTTCAATCCTAAAACTCACACTAAAAAAAGAAAATCTATACACTTTTATTAATAAAATATTATTTTTATCCACTAACTCATCACATCTCATATACTTTCTTATCTTTAAAAATAATCCAAACACAAGAAACGGGTCACATTATCTAACTCATCACATATCATCTTTAAAAATTACTCACACCATCCAATAATATAGCGGCAACTCATCTCATCTCATTGACATTTTATTTCCACTCATTTCCTAAAAAATAACCAAGGAAATTGATTTCCTTAAGTGTGAGTCACATCATCCAATAATATAATGACAACTCATCTCATCTCATCTATTTTCTTATTTTTAAAAATGAACCAAGCACAAGAAAAAACCTATTATAGAAAATATGTTTCTTATAATACATTTTCTTTTTTTTTTAACCAACCAAACAGCCTCAAAACAAATTTTCTTAAAAAATCACTTACATCATCCAATAATATGGTGACAACTCATCTGATCTCATCTCTTATTCTTTGATTTTCTTCTTTTTTTAGCCAACCAAACAAGCATAATACAAGTTTTACTATTCTTTGATTTCCTATTTATTTGATTTCCCACTTTTTTTTTAAGGCAAACAAACAGCCCTCGCTCCTCTCAGTCCCTGACCGTAACGTCTTGGCTCGCAGATAACGGACTGACAGCTGTCAGCCTCCTTCAGATTGTAGCTTGCCCGTTGACGCCGTTAAGTTCGACAAAATGAAAGACTGATGGAGACTCGTCCACGTCTTTTCGCAGTGGGTCCCGCGGGTGTTAGCGGGTGTTTCACATTTTGGTGACGCTATGATTTTTTAACACATTGGGCGCGAGGTCGAATTTGGGGGAGGCGTATACTGTTGTAACACGGCGCCAACCGGGAATATCCAGGGCCCCGCCTTATTTTGTCTTTTTTTCCAGTTTACGAAAGAAGTATATGCTTGGTGCGTGGTTTAAATCTATTGATTGTAAAAACACATTTGGATTATCTTATCAATTTTTTTTAAACTAACAAAAAAATCAGCGCTAGACGCTGGGATCTAATTAATTTATAACCATAACTAGTTAACTCTAGAGTAGCGATGTCCAAATAACATACGATTATATGAGTGTGTTTTAGCATAACACTCCCGTGTAGAATGATTCGAATCCTCTCAGTTATGAAAAAAAATAGTGGAAAGTGTTGCGCGACGGCGGAAGCGTGCACACGAACCAACATGAGTCGGCGAGCAACGGGAGGAGGACAACCAACGAGTGCAATTCACAAAAGAACGACACAAACCAATAACAAACATAGTGATTTACGTGATTCAACAAGTTGCCTACGTCCACGGGGAGAGGATGGAGAGATTTCACTATATGAAGGAGAAATACAATGGGCTACAACTCTCTCAAACACTCAAAATAACCGTAACCAATAATCTCTTACTCTCTCATAATAATCTCCCTCTCAAAGTGTTCAAAAGACTTTCTTTTCTCTCTGATAATAATCTATTCTAAAAGGTTCTATATTTATAGAAACCCATAAAACCAAAACAGACTAGGAATCCGACAATTCTAAAACCAAAATCGAAACACACTAGGAATCCCAATAACTCTAAAACCAAAACAGACTAGGAATCCTGTTTCGCCTAATAACCTGATATCCAACAATTCTTCACCTCGGCGAAGTATTCACAAAACTAAGTCGACACCAACAAGAATACCAATGTGTCGTCTCTCCAAATCCGGCTGCATCAATGTGGTTGCCTACGTACCCCCTCCCTTATGGGATCAAACCGCCGTAGTTCATCCAAATGGCCTCGAAAGGCCTCAACAAGCGCAAATCTGCAACAAGCTTCTACCCGTATAGCGATTTCTTCAATTTGCACACCAATTTCTCCTTTCCGGCAGCTTGAAACCCCAATGGCCGAGTCATATAAATTTCTTTATCAAGACCATCGTGAAAAAAAAACCGTTTTTACATACAACTAATCCAATTTTAAACCATATTGTGTCACCAAAGCTAGCAAGATCCGAATCTAAGAGTGTTTCACTATCGGAGAAAAGACTTCATTGTAGTCAATGCCTTCTTCCTGTGCATAACCCTTTGCTACTAATCTAGCTTTGAACCTCACCGAAGTGCCCTGAATGTCCTCCATCTTGGTATACACCAATTTGCAACTAATTGCCTTTCGCCCATTTGGAAGCTCGACAAGCTCGACAAGCTCCCATGTGTCATTCTTCTGAAGAGAATTCATCTCCTCTCACATAGCCTCCTGCCACAAATCAGCCTCTGAACTTTGCTCAGCCTCTCTGAATGTAGTAGGAACCATCTCATTG